AAATACGACATTCCAAATAAAACAATAAATACTCATATTTAAATACACATTTAACGTCTATATCTAAACATTTATACTCGTATCCAACAAATTACATAAAATTTTAATTTTATATTCGTAAACCATATAATAAATTTATTTTTATCAATCAAATTTACTAAAATGAAATCATTTTATTTAGTCTGTAAATTGATCATTCTGGACATACTGATAATTTTATGTATGTTTCATGACCAGCACAAGTTGAACCGACCAGAACCAATCTTTGGCCTGTTTATCTATGGCACGCAAGTTGTACTAAACTAAAACTAAATAAATATATAACAATCATTACTAAAATTCAAACTTGCAACCTATTACTCCAAATAATTATTATCTCTTAAATTATTATTTAATCAATAGGCTAAGTTGTATTTGAAATGCTAAGTATAATAAGATCAATAGTCATGTTATCAAATGAATTTAAAATCTAACATCTGACACCATGACCTTTTTACCTTATCAAATAATTTCATGTTCCATTTCGAAAATTTTGCCTTTAATTTGTACATGAATTACACTAGGAAAATGTCATGAATAAATTATGTTCGAATAATAAGAAATCATTAACAATTATGTTCGAATAATAAGAAATCTTTAATTTTTTCTTCATTATATGTTCAAAGTTCATTTAAAATGTTCAAATAGAATCACAAACAAAAAAATAAAGTGGAAAAAAAATTCAATTACTACCAAATTCAAGCTTTTATTTCATTTTTCCCCTCATTGATTCGGGCATAATTACACATATTTTACTCCTCGTATCTTGATTGTTTGACTTGGCTATCGTCGTTCCTCGATCTATTTTACGCTAGGTTGTGCTTTTTTGTCACATTTCAGGTCCTAGTATGTGTGGGAAGGTCCGGGACGAGTTTCAGATCATCCGGAGGTCAAAACGAGTCAAAAAGTTGAAGACGTGCAATGTTTACGGGCAGGAAAAATGTCACACCCTGAGGGGGTGAAAATCACCCCTAGGGAGTGAAGAGCAAGAGTTCAAGGGCAGCAATCATTTATCGCGGTCCCAAGACCGTGATAATCACCCCCGAACCGTGAAGTTGCCAAATTCCGGCAACCATTGTGCGTCTTGTGGGCCTAAAAGTTATCACGGTCCATAGACCGTGAAAATGACCCAAAATAGTATGTTTGTTACTGAGATCACCATAAGTTTGCTATTGTCATGGCCATGAACAGTGACTGTGATGTCGACACTATCGAGCAACTATAAAGACAACAGCTGGTAGAGAGAAAGGAGAGCTGGTTTTTGGAGGAGAACTTGGTTCTATCTAGGGTTTTGACCGAAAACACCAATGAGAGTTCTAGAGTGATCTTGGAGTTTAATTGAAGGCTTGGGGTGACCTTAAAGTCAAAGGTCAATTAGAAGATGAAGAAGATGAAGATCTTGAGCATTTTTGTAATCTCTCTCCTCTTCTCTATGAACAAGACCTGTTTCTCTTAGATTGATGAACCCTAGGTCTTGATTTTGGTTCATTGTTGATATATGTGACATATTCCATGTTTGATTTAGTTATTATGTACTTGATAGATGGTTTTCATCGATTGCATGAGTTTTGATTCCATTTCATGCATTAAGCTTTTGACCTAGTAGGGAGAAAACTCCCTTAGAGCTCATTATATTACCATCTTCTGGTCGCTTTTATTTATATCCGTATTTAATGAATTAAATTATTAACTTTACTATTATTTATTTTTAAAATAATTAATTTTATATATTTATGACTATTAACATACTATTAAACGTAACATTAGCTTAGAAACATAGTAAAATCTCTTACGTATTTTATACGTAACTTTCCCGTACCGTATTTTTCTAACTATGGTTTTTATAGCCCGAAACCCGAATGACCTGAACCCGATAACAAGTGATTTTTTGGGTTGGGTTGGGTGGGTTAGCTGGTCAAACCATTAGACCCATTCCATTTTATATATCACTTCCAAAATGATAAAATCACTCATAAGTTGGTGAGATATTTCAAAAATTCACAAGGATTTGAATGACATGTTTGGAGTATAAGGATAATCAAATATCATATGTTTCTTGTAGTAGTATTACTCTTGTGATTGTTTTTTGACGATTTGCGCATTTTGTATTTCAATTAATTAGCATGGGAGAATTTGAGAATATGTTAATTGGCATGTGTTAGGTAAACTATTGTCATGCATATGTGAAAATTTGTGTTCTATAAGAAAATATGAAGCATGCTTGATATTGTTTTTGAGAGCGTTCATAACCCGAAATGACTTGTAATCCGACCCAAAACCGAATGGGTTGAGACAATATTTGACCCGAAATCAGCCAACGCAGCATAACTCGACCTGTAACCGATGTCCCCGACCCAAAATAACCCAACCCGACCCGATTACTAGGTCAACGAGCTTAGATAGTACTCAACATCATTCCAATTGACGGAACTAGGGGGATTCAAACCCAAAAGAGCTCGCAAACTTTTAATTAGCTAGGTTAGTGGTTATCAAGGTTAGTTAGCTTAGTTTTCCCAATCACTATTCTAGGTTGTCTAGATAACGAAACCTTAACCCGAAGTTAGGTAAACCTAGATTCTCGTGCTTCGATAAATTTTATTACTTGCTTACCCTATGTTACATCCGGTCGTCGGTTAGACTTGGCCGTCGATTGAAATTAATATTGTAGTTAGAGAGTCAGTCATTTTCATTTCAAGTTAAACAATAAGAAACCAAAGAACAACCCTCTATTATAGAACACTAAAACAAGAACAATTGCTCAGTAATACTATAATTATGTATATTAACATGCTTATATTATGATTTACTAGGATACATAATGATATTTTGTGTGCTTACAACATTAGTTATAGATAATATTATGAAGTGAAAAAATTGACTTATTAAGTAAAATTAATAGCATTCCTGTATTCATGTGGCATTTTTCTATAGAATAAAATTAGTAAATTATATCAATATTTTTTATCCATGTGTGGTCGTTATATATCATATTTCCATGTGTGCAACAATGTTGTTGATGGTTATAAAAAATTTATTATATAATAGACCGTCTATGTGTAATGTGTCGTCTAAACAGATAAACTTTGACATCCCTTGCTTATTAAAAACTATATCATTGCTTTTAATCTAATGAAATTCCAATTTATTTTTGCTTTCCTATTGTCATTTTTGACATTGTTCCGTTCTTTTTCTATCTTCCCTACTTACTAATTAAACACTATGTATTGCCTTTTCTTTACTGCAATTTGACTTACTTGATTTTCATTTTTTTTTATATAATTCGTTTCATTTTCATGGACGCATAAAGATGAAGAACCTTGGCGTAGGTTCTGTTGCATAACACCCAAAGTATACAGATTTTATTATGAAACTCAAACAATTGGATATATCTAATGGTTGAAGTTTAAGCAAATGAGACTTAGTCACTAGAATTATTGAAACATGTCACATTTAGTCACTTTTCGTTATTCTTCGTCCAACTAAAATTAATATCAATTTTGGTCACTCGAATTACTGAAACATGTCACATTTAGTCACTCGACGTTGGTCGGAATTGGATGGAGGCTAACGGAGAGTGACTAGATGTGACATGTTTCAGTAATTCGATCGACCAAGATTTATATTAATTTTTTCTAATGACTATACATGATATGATTTAGTAAATCTCGGTGACCAAGTGTGGCATTTACACCTTTTCAATCAGTAAGCTAATTGCATGAATCCATTGTTGGCAATGAATTGGTGAGTTTGCTTTCGATCTCAACAAAGGTGAGTTTGCTTTTTGGGCTTGCTTTACAATGAGATGAGATGGGATGGATAAATGAAAACGGCCGAGAATCTCGTGTGTGTTGTGGTGTTAGGTCTAAATTCTTTTGAGCATAAGGCAGGCAGGCAGTTCGGATTCCCTTCCCACCGAGCAGGATTTCTGGCAATAGAAACATAGTAAAAGAAGAGGTGAGGAGATATTCCAATTCCTGACAAGAGCAAAACAGAAAAGTGGCCAAAGGAATGGGGAATTGCCAAAAAGCCAATCCCACTTGATTTGGTGCACAAGTTTCGTATTCTTGGAGCAGGACGGACGGGTGAAACTGAAATTAGGAAGAGATAAGATGAGGCAATTGATAGATATAAAGAAACACAGACTCCTAGCCTGGACTGATATATTAGGTGCTTGTCGAATTCATTAGGTACAATAATTGCATATGTTTATCTCCTCCAAACAAGATTTGTCCGTAAAGAAAAAGAGAGCTTGCTCGAGCCTCGAGAGGAACTTTTTAGTCAAACTTGCATAAATGTATCTTTGTGTGTCTTTTGGATTCCATTCTGTCAATCAAACTAATAATCAGAGAATTCTTCAGAGTGGGGTCAGTTGGTGTCGCGGTAATGCTGCTCCTGTCCTTTGCGTAGGCATTCTTTTCCTTCTGCAATCAATCCATCTGATTCTAATTAAATGGACCACCTGAAATTTACAAGCTCCAACTCCCCCTGCAGCAGCAGCAGCAGCAGCATCCACCCCTCAAAGCACCAACTGACGTTTCAGTAGATGCGACTTGGCTACCCATTGCCCATTGGTCGAAGTAGATGCTGGATTGGATTCCATTCATTCTTCAGACCACGAACGGGAAAACAGGGTAGCTAAATCTCAATACACTACACTAGAGCTATTAATGGAGGTGATTCCGTTTGACAGCGGCCCTAAACTTTAATCATATCAACGCAGAGAGAGATAATATTACAATTCCCCAAATGACAAGACCATCTAACCAATTCACACCCCAAATGTCCTCCTCCTTGTTTGTTTTCTTGTAAAATAAATGGTGATTAGGAGAATAATACAAGCAGCATCAACCACAATAGTCAGATAAACAAAATCCAGTTACCACCAACAAGCAACAGACTTGGCTATACGATGAAAGACCACCACCGCAACGGTATTCCTGTAATCTGTGTTTGAAACTCCTTTAAGAACCACAGCAAGCAGACTTTTGTGCACCCAGGCTCGCACCTCCAGCCTGATCTGGTTGGTTAATCTTGATCGTCTGTGGCTGCAGAATCCGACAACCGTATGTCAGAAGAGGAAGGGACACTAGTCAGACCCCAAGCCCAACACTCATCTAACTGTGATTTACCAATTATCAACACCAAACAACTAAGTAGCATATAGATACCATTTTTTGTTACTCGCCTCAAGGACCTCAACAAATTAAGGGGCCAAGAACAAGGGTCCAGGTATAGTAACTAGCCATATGTTCTAAAATTGGTTGTCCCTTTTCTTCAAGGAAGTGTCGGGATATATGCATTTCAGATGATTGGGCTTCATATCCCACATTTCAAAATTATGCCCGCCAAACTTCAGCTTTCGCTCAGGCTGACCTCAGTTGCAGAGCAACTGGAGTATACTGGATTTGAAATCTAAGAAATGATTCCAAGTCCAAAATACAAATCTTTGTCTCCAGACACACACTACGGAATAGTCTGAGTTTAAGGTTTCAGTTTAACCTTTATAAGGCTTCCACCAAGAACCAAGGACACAGCCGTAAAGCTGAAAGGTGAAAAAATTATGATACTATCGACTGCTGGGGCCTCAATTAAGGTAAATGGCAATGATTTCCAAATCCCAATGTAGAAGAGAAGTTATGTCTACATGCTCTTCATAATCCCTATTTGTCTACTTCATCATTCATTAGATAAATCAGACATACAGAAACAGAATATTTACCTCGGACTTTGAATCAGTATCTGCAAGTCGTTGCTTGATGTCCCTAGCTATTGAAAAGAAAACTTCTTCCACATTTAAGTTCGTCTTAGCACTCTGCATGACATAACAAACTTGAGATAGATATCTAGGATAATTTCAGAACCTTCTCAAGAAACAAGAGTAATAGTTACTACTTACAGTCTCAAAGAACTTGATGCCATATTCATCTGCAAGCGCCTGGCCTTTCGAGGTAGGAACGGCCTGAAGTTACATTTCAATTTTCGCATCAGCTTGGTACAAACACTCAAAAACATCTCCCCAGTCATGAAAAGAAGTAATATCACAAACAGTTTGAAAGTGTACCCTCTTGCTCTCGTCCATGTCCGCCTTGTTTCCAACCAAGATCTTGTTGACATTATCAGAAGCATGTTGTTCAATGTTGCGAATCCAATTCCTAATATCTACGGACACAAGCATAAATCATTCCAACCAAAAACTTAAAAGAAGAAACAGGTTAAAGGCATGAGGCAACGAGGGAACCAAAAATTCAACGTAGCAAAATAAAAACAATTACTGTTGAAAGATGACTCATCAGTGACATCATACACGAGCAAAATGCCCATTGCTCCGCGATAATAAGCTGCAAAAAAAAAATATACTTTAGCAATTATTTAAACAAAGTATATTAGGTAGCAAATGATTTAAACAATAACGGTATGAGATTAACAAATGGTATCACTTCTCTCCAAACGGATATCTTGAAATTAGAAAAGAGTCGTAATCATACTAGATCTCCAATTGGGCATGACACCAGAGGGTATGATCCTTTTATACTTATATGTAAGTTGTCTGGACCTAGGAGAAGAACTGTGGTTGTGATATGAAGGAAGAACATCGAAGCAGTCAAACCATAAGTGTTTCAACTCTTACATCAATGGATAGAATCGAGTACCGTCTTTGGAAACGTAAGAATGCAGCTCTAGGTATAGAACAAGAAAGCACCATTCTTTCCCGCTAAACGCAAAGGCACAATACAGGAAAGCTAAAATCCAAATACCAGCATGAATATCAAGTGTGTGGTCCCTTATAATTCCTTAAGCCCTAAGACTAACCAGTTGTAATTGTACGGAAACGTTCTTGACCAGCAGTATCCCATATCTGCAACTTAATCCGCTTCTGATCAAGCTCAATTGTCCTTATCTTGAAGTCAATGCTGTTGGAATGGGCGAAAAAAAGACAATATTTCAAAAATCAGAAGCAATTCTATTATGAAGAAAACAATATTTCGATAATCAGAAGCAATTATATTATGAACAAAAAGTTAATCGCTACTTTAGCCAACTTCAGTAGTTGTTTACCCAATGGTCGTAATGAAACTAGTGGTGAATGAACCATCTGAAAAACGTAGAAGGAGGCAACTCTTACCCACACCTACAAAAACAAATAACAAACAGGTAAGTATATGTGTGCCAAAGACGACAAGAACACTACTAGCACAAACACCATAACGATAACTGATAATGGAATATACATTAATAGAATGAGCTAGAAACATCCATAAAGCACATCCTTTGGTTATAGGAAGTGAAAATGCTACATCATTCCATCATTCTATAATCACATGCACACATCTTGTGCTAAACTATGTTAGCGTTCAAGTAAAACCCACGATGATGGAAGCTTCAAATCTGTTGTACTGAATGGTACCATACTAAACATTCAACAACCTCCCATCTCCACACAGCGCAGCGCAAACAAGAATCATGTTCCCTCAAGCTCAAAAAACCAGTATCGACCTCTCTAAAGCACACACTTCCTCAACCAGCAGTGCACCCCTACTCCCCCCAAACCAACCGATACGGGAGTGAAATAACAACCTAAGAGCGAAACTAAACTCAAGACAGTATAGACGCAGAAGATCAATGAAGCATCATGCACTGGTTCGGCAGTACATAAGTGTCCTCTCCGCTATCAGTTCCGACTATGAATACTAACCGAGAAGCATTTTCTTAAGCACGCACCCAAATACCTAATCGCTAAATCACATAGAGCCATTTCAATCTGAGAGATTCAACTAAAGGTCCCTCAACAAGAGTAGAGAAAACCATACCGCTATCGCCGATCAACAGAAGCTTTATGAGGTAATCGTAATCGGCACGAGCTCTTGCCGGCGGAGCAGCCATTGATTCGAAGCGGAACAAATTGACACCGTTTCAATCACAAATCTAGAGAAGGAAGATAACCTACAACACGGAGGAAGAAATCCTAAGGGGGAAACCGGGAGAAAGCAGAGGAAAAGGGAAGAAGGAAACGCGCGCCAATGATGGTTACCAGATCAGGAAGAAAGAAGAGTGAGATCTAATCAAAACCAGAGTGGGGAAACAACAGAAAATGCAGGATGAAGAGGGAAGTGCCTTCTTCAGGTACGTCAGGCACCGGCCTGGCTGTTAAAAAAATTAAAGAAGAAATAGAAATAGGGAAGAGAGAGAAAAATTATGAAGTGATTTTCGACCTATAATAAGATGTATGTAGGAGTTGTTGTCAACCATTGGATCTTGAGATTTGTGGAGATCAGTGTCGATCCAATGGTTCCAATCCGACTTTTTATATTTTTCTATCAGTGACCAATTATTAAACTCGTCAATAACGGTGGACATTTCTTTTTCCTTGGAGCGAGACGGACACTAGTGGGGGTGGGAACCGGGAAGGGGTAATTATCATAAACAGTAACAATACTATTTACTTTGTACAAAACGGGCACAATTCTTTAATTTTGTACCTTTCAGTAACATATGTTTAGACTAATAACAAAAAGGTAATTTCGTCCATCTCCATCCAAAATTCTGTTAATTTGATCCAATTAGTAGTCATGTCAGCAATGTCTTAAAAATAATTAATAAAAAATAAAATAAAAATCAATTAAATCCTAACCAACCCACCACCCCAATCCAATCCAACCCAACTCATTCATTTCTATCTCCTCTCCCTCTTTGTCACCATCTCCGCACAACTGAGGAAGACCCGGTGCGATGTCTACAACAAGGTTGAAGCTAGCGTCTTCTGCAGCGCCGACGATGTTGCCCTTTGCTCCACCTGCGACGGCGGTGCTTGTTCCATAGTTAATTGTACCGGTATTTCCTTCCCTCTCCTTCTGATTTGTTAAACTAATTATCAATGTCGGATTACGTTGGTGGTGGTGGTCATCAATGGGATGCTAGTAAAGGAGCCAACAACTCTTCGATATGGAGCAGCGAGTTGATCTGATGCAGAGTTGGGATCGAGCTTCCCACCATCAAAATCCGGTTCTAGAATCTAACAGTGAAACATTCATCGGCATCCGCTTCTCACTCTCACGCTCACAATGCGACCGATGACTCTACGTCTCAACTCTCACTCTCATTCGACTACATCTACCTCATAATCCCACCTCCGTTTCGTCGACTGTCTTTGGATGGAGAAAGGTAAATCACGTCGGAATTGCTTGGCTCGGACAACAGAGATTCAGAAGTGCAGAGGGGCAAATCAACCAGAGGATCTCTATTCGACCTAAGAGTCGATGGCGTCTGTTCTGCCGTGTCTCTCCTTCTCGACTGGCATATATTCGGTCATGTTTTTCCAACGGCGGATTGGACGATCAATCACCCCACTGGGTTTGAAACCCAGAAACTTAGACGAAGGATGTATAGATTATGCCTGGAGAACCGCTTCAATCAATGTTTCTTCTTGGGATTATGGTCCTCCGCTTGCTCAATCGAGTTTCCAGATTCGTCCACTTGCTGAATTGATGCTCTAGGTCTTGCTTAATCGGCGAATTTTGACGGATCTCGACGGCGGTGCAAAGATTGTTATTATGGCGATAAATTGGGGTGGAAGCTGAGAAGGTGGTGCGGTGAGGGGAGGAGATAGAGAGGGATGGAATGGGTTGAGATAGGTTGGGTTGGGTTGGGTTGGTGGTTTGGTTAGGGTTTAATTGGTTTTTATTTTATTTTGTATTAATTATTTTGATGATGTTGATGCTAACAGGACAATTGACTGAAGTAAACTAACAGAATTTTGGATCGAGATGGACGGAATTACCTTTTTGTTATTAGTTCATACATATGTTATTGAAACGTGCAAAATTATAGGTTTGTGACCGTTTTGTGCAAAGTGAGTAGTTTTGTGATCATTCTTGATAATTACCCCAACGGTAAGGGTATGAAACAGGTACCCTGTCCAATTTGAAGAGTAAACTCTATTTTATGTTTCAAACCCATATAGGTTAATGGGTGCATGTTATCTGTACGGGATGGATAACGGGATACCCAAACTACCTGTATATCTCGTCCAACTGGTGACAGAGAAAACTCGGGGCTTGGACATGGATCGTAGTTGGCGATCCGAGCGAGGATCTGTTGGACGGGTCCGACGACAATGGGATCACAATAGGGGAGCGGTGGCTAGGAGAAGAAAGGTGAAGAGGGGAGAAGAGGGGCACTGGATAGGATCACAAGAAGCAGGATAGGGGATGATGGTGAGTCAGAAGAAGAGCAAGTGCGCAGGTTAGGAGGCGAGAGGCACACGGGAAGCAACAAGGCGCACAGTAGCAGAGAGCAACGGAGCAACAACTATTGTTGGTGGAGTGCACAAGCTGCCACAGAAGAGAGGTTATGCTTGTTCTCGGTATCTTCTTGTTTTCTCATATAGTGGTAGAAGTTGGAGTCTAAGTCGGACTTGGAGATGAGCTTGGCTAGGTAGGGGAGGGGCTGGGATATTGGGCCGAGGCTGGAGTTGGATTTGGGTTAGGTTGGTTATGTAATGTCTATTGTGTAGGAAATTTTTGTTGATGGGTATTACGGGTACTCGTATTACCCAAATGGGTATTGACATGTAACCCGCGGGTACCCAATGTAAAAATTACTGATCCCAAGTCTCATCCCGTAAAAAAATGTTATGGGTATTTGGGTACCCGTATCCCTTAAAAAGCGGGACGGGTATCGGTATACCCAACACCCATTTCTCGTTGTCCACCCCTAACGGACAAAGACTGAAAAGACAGCGTCCCCAAGAGACAAGCTAAGTCAAACAGCGACCTAATTGCATTGTTTTCTAATTTTTCTTTTTCTTTCTACAAATTATTAGGAAGAGCTAGGATTATTTCATGGTTTACTTTCAAAGAGGGAAAGACAATCTACTTGGTATCTAATATTTTCATCTTATTAATATTCGAAATAAACAAGATTGGAGAATAATTGTAACTCGGATAGAAAAATCTCACATTAACACAACACGCGAGATATTCATGAACTATTAAGAGATAATAATCCAACATTAACTGATAAGATGCATTTAGGTGTGAAATGAAAGAGTACTTACTAAAGTTAAACTTGTTCGAGATGGATCAATGCATAGATGGGATACCTCTTAGAAAGCCATCATGATGCACCCCAAAAAGAAAACTGTGTGGAGTTAGACCCAAACTGGATAAGATCTTTGTTAGAAAAGGGGGATAAGGATGATGATGTTATAAGTGGTATCAAAGTCTCTATATGTGTCTCTCTTGAACAATGATGGGGCAATTTTCAACGAGGACGTTGAGTCCAAAAGGGGGTATAATGTACTCATTAAGCAAATATCATATCGACAAAGCACAAGAGAGATTAATGATCTATAAGGAACCATCCAACCTTAATCGATAAAATGCATTTTGGAGTGAAATGTAAGAGTTCTTTTAATAACTCTAAAGTTAAACATGCTCAGGATAGAGCAGTATAGAGATAAGTGACCTTGTGGCAAGTCAACATGATGTACCTTGAAAGCAAAACCGTGCGAGACTAAACCCAAAGTGGACAATATATTGGTCATAAAAAGGATGAGAATGTTACTATCATGTTCATTTTTCAGCTCCAAATATAATAGTTTGCTTATATCGATTTGGAGAGACATGTATTATCAAAAATATAAAAAATAATTTGAAGAAGCATTGAAAATCCATATTGATGAATCAATCGGACACTCATGAGCTATAGTCGTCAGCTTTGAACCATAATGGTTTCTGGATGTTTGGGGATGAGCTAATATGAGCACGAGTTCGGTACTCGTAGTTATCAAAGTAATCCAGCTTCAAAAACGAACAAGAAAAGAGAATCTTTAGGCTTTTTGTTTGTTTGGGATATGATGGAATTGAAAGTGCAATATCAACCCAAGAAGGAAGAAGACTCTAACAATATAAAAGATAGAATCTCGACCACAATCAAGGGGAATACTTGATAGATACAAAAAAAATTCGTAAGCCTAAAGCTCAAAGAACAAAGAAAATATCAATATTCATCAAAAACTAACTCAAAATTCGTGTCCTAGTCCCTTACATAGTCCAGGGCAAATAAAATAACCAAAATCCTAAAACGAAAAGGAAGACCGAAACCTGGTCAAAATCCTCAGTCGAGGTTTTAAGCCCACTGATCGGGGGCCCTCCTACCTCCATTCCCCGATCCATTCTCGCATTCCCCGTTCGGGGATTTACTGCCCTCCGGCCGGGGGTCTTCCTCTCCATAAGTATCAACCAACTGACCTTTGGTAGTGTCCTGGTGGACCTTAAGTAAGTTTTCCATCTGCGCCATCTACGCGCCAAGCAGCTACATAGCTTCTGCAAGACTCTTCTCTCCCATGGCTTGTTCTTCGATTAGGGTTTCTTCTTCATAAAGTGATTCTTACTCTTCTCTACGTTTGGTAATGGAATCTTTGGACCTCATACCAGAAGAAACAAGTCCTCTCGCTTTCGATTTCGCCACTATGTTAAACCGAACTCTGATACCACTTGATACGAGCATGGTGGCGGTACGCGTAGTTATCAAAATAATGAAGCTTCAAGAATGAACAAGAAAAGATATTTTTAAGGTTTTTGTTTGTTTGGGATAAGATGGAATTGAAGGTTCTAACAATATGGGAGAAGGCTCTAACAATATAAAAGATAAAATCTTGACCACAATCAAGGGGAATACTTGATTGATACAGAGAAAATTTTCAAGCCTAAAGCTCAAATAACAAAGGAATTATCAATATTTATCAAAAACTAACTCAAAATTTTGTGTCCTAGGCGCTTTATATAATCTGGCAAATAAAATCACAAAAACTCGAAAAAGAAACAAAATCCTAAATCGTAAAGGAGGCCGAACTCGGTCAGCCGAGACCCGTTTACAATCCC